TCCATTTAAAGTCCAAGGACATCATTAGACTTAACATGATAATGATTGGTACATTCCTCTGCATCCTTAACATGTTTACATTGTTAAAGTGTAAACAATATTTTAACAAAAATTGACAAATTTCATAATTACATTTTATCAGAAGGGGTTTTGTGGAGATGTTATAAATTTCACTGGTTGAGATCATGAGTCAATCGAAGCTAGACCACCATGGAAAACCTGGAATTCTAGTGAGAAGCCGTTACCATTGAAATTCAACCAGGTCTGTTGTGAGATATCAACTCACTGAAAACAATGGTATACGGTGGCGCAACTTCGTGGATTAGTTGAAGTTAGACATTAACGCCGTTGGATGTCTGGTTGGTTAAACGCCTGGGGCGAGACTGATAGGTCCTGGGTTCGGATCTCTCTAGGGGCGGGATCGTGGATGCACACTTCTGAGGAGTTCCATACTAGGACGAAACGGACGTCCAGTGCTTCCAGGTTTTCCATGGTGGTCTAGCTTCAATTGACTCATGATTCCAACCAGTGAAATTACATTTTAGTCTATTTGTTGCTAAAACTACATGCATGACTTATTTGTATAAAGTAGTGCAATAGAGGGAAATGATAACAGTAATTGGAATGTGTATCTGACTAATGAAATATTGGATCATTTGAATAGATAATTTTTTTGATTGATTTTATTAAACATCTAATTTTAATAGCTGAATTCATGAGTTGATATAAGCTAGACAACAATTAAAAATCTAGAAGCACTGAATGACTGTTTCCCTTTAGTATGGGATTATTCAGTGGTGTGTATCCACGATCACGCACGCGTACCTCGAACCAAATAACTGCAGTCTTGCATGCGAACACTTAACATCTTGACCACTAAGTTGGCGTCAAACGGTGTTAATTTATAACTCCAATCAATCCATAATATTGATTAACTCTTCATCTACCTGAGGTGGATGTCTGTCTCACATCTTACACGGATTATGTTCCACTTGTCACGGCTTCTCACGAGAACTCCAGGAAATCCATTTTGAAGCAAGTCACTGGTGTGTGTGCGGGATCATGGGCACTCACCACTGAAGTGTCTCATACTAGGACGAAACAGCCGTCCTGTGCTTCTAGGTTTTCAATGGTGGTTCAGCTGAGATCGACTCATGAGTTCAACCATTAAAATTACTACAATCTCCACAAATCCCCATTCTGATAAAAATCTAATTTTCTATGCACGATAAGTTGCTATGACTTACACGGAAAAGGATTATTCAAATAATCTCTGATTTTTGTTTTCTAGAAACATGTCAAGATTATTGGGATCACTGTGAATGATCAATCTGGGATATAACCGTGATCGTTCCTTTTATTGGTTAAAACATTCAAGTTTAAATAATTATGTCATACATTTGAATCCTGATCTAATGACTACGATTATAGCATTCGGAAAGTGTCAGTAATCTTTGTGCAAAAAGTGATTCAAAACGGAATAAATAGAAGTCTACTGTACATTGCCATGTGATAGCCGTCAGCGGTTCTGGAACCCCATAGTCAATACGTAGAGCCTTTAGCCATGTCGGTGTAAGAAGTCTTCGACTTTACATTCAGTGTTCGTTCCTCCTAAATTCGAGTAGTTTGTAAGCAGCTGGTCCATGACTAAAAAAAGACAGTGAGGTGTTGGAAAATGTTCAAAAAACAGCAACTAAGCTGATCCCTGGAATCCCAAAGTTCTTTTATAACAATAGACTGGCTAAACTAAACGTATTTCCCTTGTCATACAGAAGGACCACAGGTGACTGGATTACAGTTTTTAAACTACTTAATGGCGAATTTGCAATTGATGTCCTCATTTTTATTGTCATTCAAAATAAAAGATTCATGTGGACACTGAAAATTTTCACATGCCAGATAACTATCGACATTCCCACCGAATCATTAACAAATGCACTAACTACTTCAACACGTGATTGAAACCCCATCCTTCGGTGCATCCCAAAGTAAGTTGCATCAAATGAGAGAACACCATTCCCATGACCAATGCAGGTCATCCAACCTCTTGTCCTTCCCAAACTGAAACTGAAATTGGTAGGTGAGTTGTATGTTTTAGAATGAAGGCACTTAAATGTTACAGAATAAAAGTTGATCTAGTAGATAGGGGCTAAATGGGTTGAAACATGATTCAAAGACGCAATCAACACCGGAATCGTATGAAGAATTCCATAAAATTGCTTGCAATTATGCTTGTCTACCACATCTTATAAAAAAATTTGACTTGTACTGACATCATTTTTTAAAGAATTTCAACATACTACTATATTTACTAAGTGCGTAAATTGATGTTATTAAAACTGATTAAAACACATTGGTTGAACAAATCCTAATCGTTTCTGAATACTCGTAATTTGTAAAAAAAGAACACCTCTCCCATCTTCGTTTTCAATGTTCAAGATGATCTTGGAAGCCCTCAGTAATAAAATGTTTCAGTTACTGTATCGTTTCACATTTTGATGAAATTGTATATAATAAGTCTGCTTGTTGAACTCTTGTTAATAACTTCTTATGACTCCACCTGAATTCGAACAATAGAGAAAAGCTCAGAAATATAAATGTTCATTTATGTACATAAAACAATCATGTTTATAGGTTTACTGATAACTACTAAACTCCGGGAACATGACAAATTAAGTAATAAAGTAATCATCCAGATCTTAATACGAAATCCGTCAATTTTCTGGAAGCTATCGTGGGGTGCACGGATTGGGAAATCTTTTCTTAGTATTTATCTGGATTATATAAGTTTTATCGAAGGATTCTCGTGGGATCCTAGCGATATGAACGACCATAACCTCACATTAAATGAATAACCAATGAGAAAGTATAATAGACTTTGTATATGTTCACTGTTTTTATAAAAAAATGACGTTGGTGGTCGCTCTAGCCTTTCATCGTCGTTTCAGTTTAATTGGCTTACATCAAAATGCTCTACTAGAATTTGTTATTTTCATACAAACGTCTTACTGTTCCGCTAAATCCCAGATAGCTTTTCACAAGTTTCATGACAAAACATTAGTACTCCATTTTCAGTATTCTTAGTTCGTACTATAATTCAAATACTCCTAATTATCACACCTGTTTTCTCTCTATAAAACATCGTTAATGTTATGATTTTCTCTTCAAAAATGAACCCAGATTATTAATATAAATGTAGATTTTTTCTGTTGTTTTGATCATTCTTAAAAATCTAAGAAATTGTAACAAAGTTAATTGTTAAATGATGTAAATATTTAGTCAAGTTCCGAATAGGATCAACAAAGAATGATAATTTTTTTCACTGAGTGCGCATTATTGAGTCAGGTTCTACAAAAGTGTCATGTTTAGAACTTGGATTCTCAATATACCGCGTATAACTTGAGAACTGGAACGCTAGAACCTTCATAAGTCGCAAATGAGAAAGCAGAAGACAAGTGGAAGGAATGCTATTTCAAACAATGTCAATTATGGTACAAATCTGTCAGGTATTTATAGTGTTTAGTAAAAACCAAATTATCATTATAGTCCTCCGATCCGCATACAGGGGTTATTAGCATTTGTCCAATAAGGAAGCTACGCGTAGGGATTCCAGAATATTCCTCCAAAAGATGATTGGATGGAATATCTTCGGCTATTTCTGAGCTTCTTAGAGCTTCCACGAGTTCACCCGTAGGCCATCCTCACAAAAACTTTCATCTTAAATGATAGAATGTCAAACACACATTTAAAATTCTAATAATGTTCATACGTTTCCTCATGTTATCGTCGGGTGAATTGGAAGTAAGCGTGTTACACTCTTAAATCTCAACAGTTGTGAACTAGGTTAAAAGTTATTGTAAGAGATAATGGAAATTTGTTTGAAGAGTATTTAGAATGTATTATTTCATTGAAATTTCAATTTGCTTAACTAGAATCAAACTACCACATAACTAACACATCATATTGAGTTGATGAATAAGATACCAAATAAAGAAGATAAATCTGTCAACTTTTATAAATGACAATCGAATAAGATCATTTAGAAATATATCAAACATTTTTGTTGTTATCATTTATTCTGTTTTGTTAAGTTGCTTAACATACATTAAAAAAAGACAATATAAGCCATAAGACTATGATATATTATGGTTAGTTATTAAAAAACCTTTATCTATTTTACTAAGTTATGACATGAGAAACTTGACAGTTTTTCTAATATCTGTGAAACAATCAAAATCTTTTAAAGAATATTTTAGATGATGTTATGTAAAATCAGTTCCAATAGTGTATACTCACACATTAGTTATTGTTATAACGGTTAGTTTTCCATATTTACACGTATGGAAAGTTAATTTACCTTAAACGAATATCTACACTAGATTCCTTCCTAGTATCTATTCTAGAGGACTTCAACAAAGCTCAGATCAAAAACACGTGATTAGCCTGACTAGAATGTATATATATTTCCACACCAAAATCCGACACAATCCAAAAACAATGAACAATCAATAATAATAAGGATAGGGGAATATATAACTCATATAATACCTATCATACTATCTGCATGTTTGACTAAGCAAACAACCAATCATTATCGTCCTCGCTTACACATCATACTTATCAATGATCATTATTATTTGTTTTCTTCTCAATAATTTTTTTAGTTTTCACTTAATTTCACTAATATTGGTGCGTGCTACTTATATTGACATAAGTAGTATATAACGCGAGTCAAGAAAGGAAGAACGGGAATAGAAAGCAAGTCGTTTGGGAATGCAAGAACAATATTACACAATAAAACACTTTGTACAATAAACATTACTGTTAATAAACAATTCATTGACACAATTTAATATACACTACTTTTCTCAACAAATAGGTTGGTTTTATTTTACAAGCGATTATTATTATACACACATTAAAACAAACAGTTCTAATAATAATAATAATAATAGCGAACTTCACATTGATTCATTGGCTTCATATATGTATAAAGTCGGTTAACGAAATGGGAGTGAAGAGATCTGAGATTTAGATTTTCTGAAATAATAATTAGAAAAAAGAAAACCCTCAATAGATATAAATCATTAAAGTAATAACTAGAAATACAAGAAACTAGTTAAAATAAGTAAAAACACACATGACTGTTCACTTATACAAAATATAGAAAATAAGCTCATTGACTTATCAGTCAGTCAGCTACAACGTAGGACTAAGCACATATATGCATCGGTCCAAGTTGCCACACCTCATTAGCACAACAAGATGAACACTAAATTTACAGAAGCAATTAACTCAATGGTGTAATATATAAAGGGAAGATTGCATATAAGGATATAGTATAGGAAGAAAGATTTAGTACGTACATAGAAAGATATAAAATAATTTTAGTCTCATAGTTTAAGGGAAGACAGAGAGTGTATACACCTACGCCATTGTGATCGATTCTGAGCCATGTCACCAAGAATCTCCAACCATTGGTTACGATAGTCACGCGGACCCCAACCAAGTAGTCTGCATCTACTAACATGGCTCAGACTAGAAGTTAGTGACTTCAAGCACTGATGCCACGTTTTGGTTTGACTTATAGAACTAAAATAATGATTTAATATATGAAAGATCATTTGTGTAGGCTTTTTTATAATTAACTATACTTGACTATAATTTACAAGTATGAATGTCAACTAAATTAATTTCAAAGAGAGCACAGAAAAAAAACAAATTCCGTTGTAGAAGAATATGAATTCATTTTTATTTCATTAGATTCTCATCAGCTGCTTACAATCAAAGTTATGACAGGTATTAACATATTTATAAATACGAGGGTGATTAGATATGAATATGTATATGATGATAGATCAAAGATTCCGATGAAGTTAATAAGGTTTTAGATTTGTTTCAGATAAATAGAAATGAAATATGAGTGGGAAAGTTCCCGAACATTGAGATAGTGACTAGAAATCATAGAGTTAAAAAACATCAGATGATTGTCTAGTAAAGTAACTGAAAACAGATTAAGGGTGATAAGGAAAAGTATGAGTCGAATCAGTCAGTCATGAATTCAAGAGAAACGACAATGATGTAATCAAAACTTGAGAAGTTGATATAATGAATGATGCAATAAAAACGATGTAATGTTACTAGGTCAAAGAAAGGCTTATTACTGTTTCTTTTTGGACACATACATCTAGCTTTAAACGTTTGATTGCTATCGCGTCGGCAAATTTCAGAGGATCGAAATACGATTGTTTATTAATCACCTTGAAAGAATTCAGTGTATCCACTTGATGTTCTATATCTATATGTCTCGAAATGGCACTGCTGAATGCTTTTAATCTACTTGACCATAGACGTTTTGGAATATGTTCTTCGAATCGGACGTAGGCTCTCCTTTCTTTTGTACCAATGTAACTGCTTTGCAGATACACATGGATTTGTATAAGTAGTTGGTGGTAACATAAAAGAGATACCTATTGATCTCTGATTGTGTTGTTTTGGACAAGACAATCATTTTAGCTGAAGGATAAGTTCTTGACAATGCAGTTTTCAGTCATATGATGATTGACCCTGTGACATCATCACCTTTGAATTCAAGTTGAATAGAAATAGGTGTTTTGTTTACTGTAGTTTCTTTGTGTTTTACTTTTACTTAACTGGTATCAAAATTGTAAATTTAAATTGTCACTTTGATAAAAATCCATCGACCACGTATAACCGATATGAAAATACAATGAGATCTAAATTATGATACAGCTAAAATGTTTTTGTATTGTGCAATGAAATCACCAGATGATTAAATACTACATAGATGTTTTATATCAAAATTAAGATGAAATATGGTCTCAATCCCCATGACCAGTTCATGTGCGTGTCTGTATGCATGAAAGCATCGAGATCACCCGCCTCGATTCTCAAACATATATAGCATTTAAAGTAGAAATTGATACCCTCGACCACACAAATAATCGAAATCATTTAGAAATCACGAGACCTTGAGTACTTACGTAACATTAACTCTCTCATGTAATTCATAATTTGTTAGTTAGACAGCTATTTTGATCTGATTTGCTGTATTTTTTTAGTTTAATACTTGATAGGATAAATATTAGCATTAATTCAATCAATACACTTTCTTCCTAACAACTTAAGTCGAGGTGAATAGTATACTGACGTTATTTTGATTTAATCATCTGTTGTTTTGCAATTCTATGGGTCATCAGAGATAAGTAAAAGTATGTTCTTCTTTCATTTAAATTACGAATTGATTTAAGTTAAACAATCATTGAAAATTTGAAAGCAGTAGACGACTGTCCTGTCTTATTATTGGGACTACTTAGTAAGTGCGCGTCAACAATCCCGCACTTGCGAGTTAAACCCTGGACGTATTTTTGGTGAATGTGTTAGTTCAATTTCAGTGATTTTTCATTCCTTAGTCCTTCCAACTTTCAGCTATATATGAAAATTTGCTTAAAACAATAAACAAGTGAGTTACAACATGGTATTTTGTAAACTTAGTTATTCTAAACTTAGTAGTTAACTGGAACTCTGGATTAATTTCATTTATTTCTAAGGTAATTCGTTGATTTCTTAGATGTGCATTAAAATCGAACAGTTGTTTCTTTCTTCGTAAAGTTTGTGAAAACATAACCCGCCGTTTTTTTGGGGAAATTTCTACGAGTTTGTAAATAATGTTAGAACATGGAAGTTTTTTCAGGATTGTTCTGACTTCCGAAGACGTTTTGAAGAAGTATTGAGGGCTCACAACATTTTTATTATTGGTAATTGTAAGTAATCCAACTGAATAAGTTTCGTTCAATGATCCTATCCTGAAGGACAAAGTTAACAGATGTCCCGAGAGAAGAAATTTCCCAATTATAATCCTGCAATATTTTTCTACCCCACGTATACTATTTCGATTATCGTCCAGCATCCTGAGCTTTGACTATAACTCGCTTAGACTGAAAAGGTTGACACTGAGTTAAAACTGAGAATAATCCTGTATCCTATTAGTCCAGAACGCATTCTGTTCTTCCAACCCAGTCCTCCATCAGACAGTAGAATACGGTAAACAACAGTAAAGTAGTATACTTTATGTGCATCAATAAAGATTAATTTCCTGGTTGCACATCAAAATGACCACGAAATTACAACATGAGCACAACTACTCCGAAAGTTGAATAGGACAAAGGAAAAAGGTGAATAGCCATAATTAAGGAATAGTAAAACACAAAAGAATAGTTAATTGGTCCACTGAAAGCTTACAGTCAACAGAATACAGAAATACAGTCATTCAATTATTGGGTAATTATACAATAAGAATATATATAATAATAGTCTACAAGGCAGTTTTGACAGTTAGAAAATCTTCAGTAATTATTTCACCAAAACGTACTTAGTTAGTAAATCTTTCAATACTCAATCCACTTTGATGAATCAAGAATAAATCAAGTTGTAAAAATCTCACTTACCGAATAATCGGGTTAACTGCTGATTTCGATGATGTTAAGCTGGATTGTGAACGCCACTGTAAATCTAAACGTGTGTAAATCCCAGCCTGACACTAAATATTAAATGTTTTTTGAAATAAAAAGAGATAAGATCACCATATGTAATTATGAAACCCGAAATAATAAGTAGTCATTTCTTAAAAATTTGTATAAAGAAATAAGAAGATAAAGTTGATTTGAAAAATGCAATATGCTTAGATAGTCGGCTTCATTATCACTTAGGGTCAAGCACTATGAGATACATAGAAAGTAAAAACTCATATTCACAATGATAGTAAAAAAGTATAATTGAAATGAGACAAAGAATTGACATCAACATAGCTTTTAAAACGTTATATAGGAATTGTTAAGGACCAATTCTTAGGTTTATAGATGGTTTGGTTGTTCAGAAATTCACCCCCCTTGGTTGTCCGTTAGCCGTGAATTTGTCACTCTCTTTTATTTACAACCACCAACTTATATTCACTAGAACGTTTGTTTCATTAACCTTTTTTACTTCTCACATATAAATACCCTAGAAAGTATGTGTGTGGTCAATTTGTTCAGAATGTACGGCGAAAATATATTACATTTTACAGATATCATTTATTTATCGAGATGTTTGATTTTGTACTGTAAATAGTAATCAGTAGGTCATCCTCTCGAAGGATAAAAGATACTGCGCAGAAAATTTTATGTACGTTTAGGCATTAACGTTCAAGGCTGAAGGTCATAGGTTCACAAAGCTGAGGAGTCCCAAACTGGAACAAAACGATCGTCCATTGATTACAGGCTTTCAATGATTGTCTAAGTTAGATCAGTTTGTGAGTTCGATAGTCAGTCAGTCAGTGAGTCCCAACGGAGAACTTCGTACGTAGATGTCACACCACATTAGCACAGAGATGCAGTGGTCGATTATACGTAAAACTACATCTTGTAGTAATTTTATTTTATTAAATTGTAGTAAGCTAAGAGATGTATACAATTATTGTATGCCTTCCATACACTCGGAACCTGACTATTTTATAACCAACCTTCAAAAACTGAACGGAAGTTCTCATTAAATTAACAAAGTCCGCTCTCAGCTTTACCGTTTTGTTTCGATATGCAAGAATTAGAAACCACTCAATAGCTGCTCGACTAAGCATTATTTTTAAATTGGTCTTCACATAGTAATTTAAAAGAACACATTACTTAATGACTTACTTAAGCCTATTATCCCTTCTGTGATAAAGACCGCTGACTAGGGATGTCCATTCATTACAAAATATGTTTTTAGTACTACCAATAGTGCTGAGATCTTAAATAAGAGTCTCCAACCATTGGTTACGATAGTCACGCGGACCCCAACCAAGTAGTCTGCATCTACCAACATGGCTCAGACTAGAAGTTAGTGACTTCAAGCACTGATGCCACATTTTGGTTTGGCCGCCCCTAACTCTCTTCCAACCATCCCCAATACTAGTCATTGCCGTCGTGGTAATCGGTGTTCAGGCATACGTAACACGTGGCCCAACCATCTCAGTCGATGAAGATTCATGACCTCATCAACTGATTTACCATCATTCCCTAATACCCTGCGTCTAACCTCACTATTACTTACCCGGTGATCCCAGCAGATGCGAGCAATATTTCTAAGGCATCTGTGGTCAAATACTAGTAACCTACGAGTATCTTCTACTCTTAATGGCCATGTTTCACAGCCGTAAAGTAGAACAGAGCGAACTGCTGCGCAGTATAGATATCTCGCCTTCACCACAGGTGACGTAATTTGGCAAAAGCCAAACGAGCCTTTCGAATCCGTGCTGAGATTTCATCAGACACCAACTCATTAGGGCTGATCAGACTTCCAAGATAAGTGAAGTTGTCGACGCGTTCGACTACTTCACTCCCTATCCTTAGTTCAGGTGTTGACGCAGGCCAGTCCTGGAGTAACAATTTACATTTGGATGGGGAGAAACGCATCCCAAACATCCTGGCATTATTACTGAGTTCCAACAGAAGACTCTGCATTTTGTCAGCGTCTTCACCAAACAGGACTATGTCATCTGCGTATTCTAAGTCGATAAGTGAACCTCCTGGTAAGAGGTCAATACCCGAGAACTCAGTCAACGAGAAAGTTATTTCCATCAGCAGATCTATGATGAAGTTAAACAAAAATGGGGAAAGTGGACAGCCTTGACGGACACCACTTGAGGTTGCAAAAGCAGATGACGGTTCGCCATAAGATCTGACTCGACTAGCAGTATTCGAGTAAAGAGCCTTTACAAGGTTTATGTACTTCTGTACTATTAACAATAAGGAATGTTCGAGATCCGGTAACTCGGGTGGAAAAAGTTTGGTGTTATTGTGTCCTCTGAACAGGGCAATTTAATTGCACACCTTATGTATTCATTCAGCATAACATCAACAGGACCAACTTGAAATGTAATCTCTTTTACAAGTGCCAAATTAGCCTATCCTAATGATCTTGTATGTGAATATGTGTCTTCATATTTTTTTTTAGATATCTTCGGATTCCCGATAAATTGACCACTGATCATGGATGTTAGCCACATTTGGTGACAACTTGAACTTACATCGACATGTTTCATAAATTCAAATTTACCTGTATTCCAGGCTTCTAACAATTTCTCCGTCATTTTTTAAGACTATTTTGTACAGAAACTCGGCATACTCACACTCAAAATTTTATCTTTATATGCCTAAGTGTATTTATATAGGTCACTTCTGTCGTATATTTTAACTGCTAGTCTTCATTTGTGGATAATTAGGTGAACACACGTCTAGTACCTCACAGTGTAGAACAAATTGTTTTGCAGATAATGCTAGATTAATCTTCTTTTACTGTTATTTTCTTCAGTTTGTACAAAATGTAATGAAGTGGTTATTGTTGATGCGTGATTAACTCTTGTTTTAAAATTCTTATAGATCTTACTGAGATGTTTTTCATATTCACAATAAAACTATCTGTCTAGATTGGCAAACGAAATATTATTAAAAGGAAGAAGCTTTTATGTAGCTACTTTGAATGCTTTTTTAAAATACTCCATAATCAAGCACAGATATTCATCATTTCTATGTTTGATTTACAAATATATTGTGTAAAATATTTATGAATAAAATTTATAATCCAGTAAGAGGATCTTAGAAGTGTTATATTTTCTTATTTGAATGGATTATTCGTAAACTACTCATTGTATTTCAAAATAATATCATCATCACATACTTCTACGAAGAATGTAGTGAAAGCTTTAGAATCAAAACATCTTGAAAATACTCTTTGGTTGGTCAAACTGAACTAGGCCGAACACATTTTGAACATGGAAACAAAGATTGCAAGTTGGATGCTATCAACATTCAATTAATTAAATGATTTATTTCATACACACATGTATTCTATGAATCAAGAAAATTGATAAATTTGATAATTATATTACTCGAGTAATAAAATATAAGAGAAACTAACTTCTTTAGAAGTTGGTATCTCTGAACACGTGGTTGTTTTTTGACGTTGTGCACATAAGAATTCAGTGAGTTTTTGCATTCGACGTAAATCTATGTTCAGAAAGTAGGATCAGTAAAGAATTTAAAAAAAAATAACAAATTAGGCAGAGAAATACATTTAAGATTTAAGTATGAAAAGTATTTTCTAGCATTTAATAGGTCATCATTTCGTTCAGTTAATTCTCAATTATACTGTCCTAAGTAGGAAAAATAAACCCGAAAATGGATTACAATAGTTATATAGAATAGATGGGTTGTATCTAGTAGTTAACACATCATATCATCCGAAGTAAAAATAAGTTAAAACTTCAACAACAAGTGTGAACCTTGTGGAAAAGCAGACATTCTCTATAAAGGGTTCACACACGCAATACTTTTTTCTTCCAAAAAAGATAATTCTCACATTTATAAGATCGGTGGCAGACGACAAGAAGTCTTGGCCATGGGTTTAGTGTTCATTGACACTCATAACTAAAGTGTATCTATAGTTCAAACTTCATTAGTTGGTGTTACAGTCAAAAATGGTACCATTGACCTACTTAGTTGACAAGTGACCTGACAAACTAGACCCTCCATAAATCAACTTTCAATAAATTCAACAAAATATTTATTAAAATCAAAATGAACTAGCCTTCTTGACGTTGATTATCTTGATTAATTCGATTACATTTTCCCGTGTCCCATACACGTTCATCTAGTGTTGACGATAATAATCCATTCGAATTAATTATTGGTGTTAAACTATTCACTATATTTTCAACATCATTTGATTGGTTAATCTGAACTAGTCGATCTTCATATTTGATATCAAATATTGGTTCTACAGGTTGATTATTAATTGTTGCTTTAAACAACTATATATTAATGAATTGAATGAAACAAATTTATATGTAAATATATGTATTTTAAATTTTGGAAAAGAATACAAACAAAGATAGTTAAACAATTACAAAATAAAAGGTAATTACTAAATAAATCAAATCATGTTAATAATAAGAATAATAAGCTGCGTTCAATAAGTAATTAGCATTTTCGTAAAATAATTTTGATAAGTTTGTTAAGAATCACTCTGATAAAACGATATTATAAGTGTGAGGATTTGTGGAGATTGTAGTATTTTTACAGTTGAAATCACGAGTTGGTCTAAGCTGGACCACCATTGAAAACCTGTAAGCGATGGATAGCCGTTTCGTCTTAGTATGGAGTCTAATCTGTGTCGGGTGTGAAGTAGATATCCACCTCACGCATTAAATTAAGGGTGGCGCAATATCATGAATTGATTGAAGTTATGCAGTAACACCGTTGGATGCCAACTCAGTGGTCTAGATGTTAGGCGTTCGCGTGCAAGACTGAAGTTCCTGAGCTCGAGTCACGCGTGCATGATCGTGGATATGCATCACTGAAAAATCCTATACTAGGACAAAACGGTCGTCCAGTGCTTCCAGTTTTTAATGGTTGTCTAGTGTAGATCAACTCGTGATTTCAACCGTAAAAAAATGATATTGCATATACTACTTTAGGGTAAAGGTTCAATGAAATAATTGTCAATTAGGACGTTGATTAGTTCTGAATTATGCTATTTAATCTTCTAAATAATCCTATTGTTAAAACAATATAAATTATTTATCCATGAACTTATCATATTTTTGGTTGATTATAAATGTGTTTAAGTAACAGATATATTTTTATTTAATACCAATTCACGCCAGTCACGTATCAGACTATATCTTTTGAAATCCATACAAAGTACTGAAGTAAATAACTATAATTGTTGATATTTTGTGTTGTTCAGTGCAATCCATTTCGTATCAGTACATCACTCTATTGGCTACAGTTAAATTTCGTCAAATCAATCTATGAAGTGTAAAATTGGGGGATTTTAGTAGTTAAATTTTACACGAATCAGTAACTATGGTTTATTAAACAGTCTATTACTTTGAAAATTACACACACTTTATAGACCAATAAGATATATTATTAAAACAGCCACAAAGGCCAGTACAAACGCAATACGCAATTAAATCCAGCGAAACTTAGTTTCGACCTTTTAAATTAATATTACCAGGCATTTGCTGGATTGTATAAATGCATGCACATAGACGCTGATGCCTTCGAACCATTTGTGTATCGTGAAGCAATCGAGTGATCAATGTTTAGTTTAGATATAGGGTATTAAGTAAAAATGGCAAATCGAATAATAAGTTTGTACATTTTCGTAGACTGAGGTGGTTATAGTATGCATAAGATGTACTCGAACACCACCTATCACGAGCTATAATAATAGTTGAAATAGGAGTAAGTTGTAATTATGTTATGGATGGACAAATGAAAACATGATCCTATTCGATTAAGTCACTTATTGTTCGACTGGACTATGTCTATAAGTCCAGACAACCACGCGATAACCGTGATCAGTAGTTGATTTCGTAAAGAGACAAATCAGAATCGGTTAGAATGACCCAGATGTATTCTCTTTGTGTTGTCATATAGATCTTGAGTTCCAGTATTCCTTTACGAATATCACTAAATCCTATCTTTTTGAACTACGTTCTCAATAAGCAAAATAATATTTTTGTAATATCCCAATGTGATGAACTAGAAGACAATCAGTCGGTCATAATCAACGTGGTTTTGAAAGACAGAATGAAAATGTGTATGTATGACGGAGTACTGGAACTCGTGATATAGATTATGATAGACAGTGCGTGTATATGGGTCACTGTGGTTGCTTCTAAACGATGTCACATAACGTCGGCAACTACCGATCGTCGTTAGCGAAAGCAAATGAAACTAAAATTTACGTGAAATGAATAAATAGTATTTAGTAGATGACTTACATTTGACATTTCTGGTTTATCATATTTATCAGGTTGTTTATCCAAACAGGCTAAAAGTGTAAATGCTGGAGCTTTGTAAACAAGTTCTTTATTACAAATAATTTGACTCAAATCAATTTTATGATTGTGTGAATGTCCACCATTAATAACATAATCAGATGAATTATTGTCACTAAGAATAAAATAGAAAAACAAATAATAGATTATATATTTGTGAAGTGTTTTTAAATTTTCTAATTTGATAATTAATTCAACTTAATTGACTAGTTTCAGTGTAGATTTTCGGACGTTCAAGTGAGAAATTATGATGTACGGAGTCAACGGTATTGAAAATAAGGTAGTATACATAACTGATTTACCAAATACGATTATATCTACTCAACTATGGACCACTCTCATATTTAGGGACTGGTGATACAACATAGCTAGTGAAACGAATGTAAGTGGAATAGATTTCGAACCCTCAATAGTAACGGTTATTATTTATTTATTTGAACACATAGATATTGGTACAAGGAGACACCGAATACATACGTGCCACACAAGTCATTTGATCTCTGTGGCAGTGGAGCAACGTTAGAAGATGCAGTCCCATGGTAGCCGGTGACCAATAATTGGTTCATACGCCATTTGTCCTTTCAGGATACTGGAGCCCATGTGCACCATTGGTTTGGAATCAGGGTTTTCCAATTCCCCTGGGTGGACCCTCCGTGTCCACAAGCCCTGTTGGAGCTCCTGACATTTACTTTTCGTCCTCTCAATTTCGTAAACAACACCCCCACCACGAGAAGGCAGTGAGTAAGACTTCCCTGACAGAGGCTATATACGCGTGGCCATGTGAGAGCATTTCGAGAGGAAGAGCGGACTCTCCCCATTCTCGTCCATACCAGGGCATTTGGTGGCAATAGTAACGGTTAAAAAAATTATTACTTCAATTACTTAACAAGTATTTCCCTAATGATGTGGTAACTCACTGATAATATTAAATGAAGACTGCCCTATAGGACAAATAGAGTAAAATTAGGATCGTGAATCACTGGATTCCCACTACAAAAACAAAAAAAGATTACTCGTATCTACTGTTATACTTTGTTGAACATTAGAACGGAACCGTCATATTTTAGTTTGGTAGAAAAAAAACACAAGTAACAATATCTAATGAATGTTGGTAGTTTTTAGTTTAAACTAGTAGCTAACAATCTTTAAACATCTATTTAATATAGCTAATTAGTCAAAAGAAATTGAGTTAATATTTTGGTGGAGTATATATATGAGAAACAAGTGATATATTATTCGTCTTATTCATTTTTGAAATATTTATAGTACACTTTGATAAATATTTAAGTAAGGGAAATAATCTTATTTATAGGAGCTCATCTAAAGTTGGTTGGTAAATAATGTTCTAATCCTGTTAGCACTATGGATTACATCATCAACTTAATAGTTAGGCATGATGCATAAAACTATTCAGTATGTTGTATTATATACAGAAAAATGTCCTTCGTAGTTTGGACGTATACTATGCATAACATTTCAGTGGATTCTAGACTAAGTACACATTTAGCTAATACTGGAATTGAGTAAGAAAATTAGAGTTAATCAACTTATGATATTAAGCTGTGGATTGAAGAATAATTGTATTAGAATGACCTCTATTGACATACTAGGAATCTATAGATCTTACGATTCAATAACTAAAGGAGTTATCAACATAAAGCTCATTAGAAAAACGTGTTTTAATTCTCTACTTTGTCTTTTGAAAATACCGTAAAGTGTGCATTTTAAAAGGGATAAAATTTAACATTGTAATATTCTTAGATAAACTGTATCTACTTCAATAATCACTATTTTGTCATCATTATGTTAAACTGCTATCTTCTATGTTTTCACAAAACTAGCACATTTGAAATATTTCTTGATATCTCATTTAACAAAGTGTTCCAATTATGAATAGATAAAAATTATTTAATGAGTATCAACTATACATCAATTTGATAAATTTATCATGATATATAAATTATCCTTACTTATTTTGATTGAATGATCGTTTGGTAGCCCATGACATAATCATTTCACGATGTTGTATACATAATTTTGTTACAGGATCTGAACTATCTTCATTCAAAATATGTTCACTTCTGTGACATCCCTATATATAGAATTTTAAAATTATAAATTTTCAGAGTGTAATGAGAACTGTATTAAAACTAATCCTATGTATATTTTTGCTAAAGATTAGAATAGTTACACGTCTAAACTTCATTAGCCCGATCTAAGATTTTGACATGAGGTAGGATAACTAATCCATTTTCACTTTTTTTTAAAGAGAGAAGGATTTATACCTTTTAGCTTTCTACAATTAATTAGTGTATACAAGTTAAGTGATTTAAGGATCATGTTCTATGCTTCAGTTCATTTCAGTAAGTAATGTACGTCCCTTAATGTATAAACTCTACCACTAATGCATAGTAAAAAGACAGGGAGTGTAATGGGAAGTTAGATTGTCAGACAGCGAATAAATATGTAAACAAGCAATATATATGTATATAATACTGGAATAATCTAGATCAAGGTATACAGGCAGTGCCCTTGACTAAGTGAATATTTCAATCACTCAAGATATTCCACCCACACATCATACAGCTACCATGTGGCCTTGTGACAATATGTGGCCTTTTTAAGCTGAGATCATGATATGCATGAACCAATCAATTTTGTTTCCATCCAACTAAGGTGAGGATAAGAGCGTATCTTACCAATAACATTGGTTGAGGACATTTAAATTTGGGTCCGTTGATTTTAACATAGTAACTCAATCTTATAATGCTCATTGATTGACCTTATGAATACAGTGGTCTTGGGTGCTGTTAGAGGTATGAGGGCGGTTATCACTTCCCGGTTGCCCACACCGAGGAAGGGTTCTTCTGGAGGTACCTGAAAAGGAAATTGGATTAGAGGCGGTCTCAGTGACCTGAGAGCGTGACCGCAGTGCCCAAGGGACAACTGCTTGAGGCCGGTGGCGCACGGCCTTTTCGTGGGAGGTTTTTGACGTGTTAGCTCCGTTCTTCAAAGAGCCTTACCGCCGGAGACGGAAATCCGTGAGGTAAGGTGAGGTGTGCATTTTTAGGGTCGACCTTTTCTAACCCCACCCCTCCTTGTGGGAAGGAAGCATCACTGTCATGCTGGTTGTCTGAAGGAAACACCTTACTGCTGTCACACCTCTGTACAGTCAGCAGTACGACTTCACCTTTGGACCTTGGGTTTGTTGCTTTTAGTCTTACCGCTCTTCAACCGACCTGTCTGACATGGTAGGACCTTGAGGAACGGTTGTTCCAGCCAGTATAGCTCGGTTGCTTCATCACGATAGGCAAGCCCGACCACCACGTCAAGGTAGCAACAACGGTCGGGATTGATTAACCTAAATACATTAGGTTCAATCCTATTTAAAGTATTGGAAAGACGATTCCCTTTCAGCTTATTTTAATTCATGATAAAAATTATACTGAAATAAAATAAGGAGAAATTAGCGAAGTATATTTTCTTTTCGACGAAATCATCTACTTAACTTGTACATTCGTATACAAAGTTGTTGTTAAATGTATGTCCATATAAATATAGAAAAGATTGCTTCATTGTCGATAGTAACTTTACACCAAGACAACGTCCTGAAAAAGCACCAACAGTTCAAAAGAAATCTTATGAATATCGAATTTAAAGGAGATACAGCTGCCTTAATTTCAAAATCTCTAAAAAAAGCCCATTCAGCTCAGATTTGTATTGTCTTCTCGAGCCGGTCTATCATTCACGGATGTGTCAAGGATAAATTACCGCTTTGGGTCACATTGATGTGCTTCCATAAATTTACATGCTCCTGCTGGGCAGGTTACAACGGCCTCACAGAGTGATCGCTTCCCAAACGCATCTCAGAACATTATTCAGTGTGGCTTTTGAAAAGAGAATGTAAACATGAGCATTTCACGTATTAATTTTCATTTAATACTCTGTCGATTGTAACACAGTAAGTTTGAAGTTATCACTGGAGAGCCTGGACGAATGATTTGTCGAAGACAATTGTTCACTCTAATACTCTTTATTATTTTTTAGTATAAACGGCTTAAAGGTTGTTCACTTTTCATCAAACTGATATTCAAAATTAAATCAGCCAAGTAGTCAGTTACCTTCAAAAAGAAGAACACAGTACAAATATGTATCTGTCCAAGTTGCTTTATCTCACGTCATTTTTTTGTCATAAAGTTCAATATTGCTAAATTGATCAAAGTTATTAAAATATGACAAATTTCTAAGAACTTTATTTTGATTTTGTAGTTTATATCATGAACTGGCTTTGGTTAGACAACTGTTCGAAATCAACGAGCACTGGACAGTGTTTTGTCCTGATATACGACTTCTTACTCATGAGTATTCACAACCAAATCATGGATCAAGCCCAAAAACCTTTAGATCTCATTGTCAGCACTTAACCCTTAGAACACTGTGTAAGCATCTAATGTTTGACATGTCTGTCTTTAACCAAAACCAAGATAATGTCCAACTAGCTGCTTTACAACTAAATTTGTTGAACTTTGCTGATTACGACTTTTAATTATAAAACGAACCGATCTCCACAAACCACTTATACTCATTGTTTCCTTGTTCAATAATTATATTTTAATACAGTTTTTCATGTTGTTGATGAGAAAAATTCTACACATAATTAGTTTAATTCAATGTGTCAATAAACGAAATATTATTCTCTAAATATACATTATGTTCTGTTCTTTGGGGTTTTAAACTCACATTTTGAGTTGAGAATAAATTGAATCTTGATAAGCCCAATCCACAACATGGATAGATGAAATCAGGTTTATCATGCCTGAAAAAAAGAATTATATATATAAGCTCAAAATGACTTTAAAATTCTAGTCAGTAAACTTTAGCAAATATTTATATTTTGATTAAAGTCGTATCAAGCTAAATCTTTTAAGAAAATAATTTATTAGCTAGTTGATTTGTTTACGCCACAAGTCGACTTCATTTGAGAAATCATTTATAATTAGAAAGCACTAGGCAGTTTTTTGTTTTAACACAGAGCTCATAATTTGTATAAACATACAACTATACATGAAATCGAAGGGTAAGAACTTCATGTCCGACAGTGAGCAAGATACTATTGTATCAGTGAATAAGAATCTAGCTGTTAATTGATATGACAGGATTGAAAAAGTAAAAATTGCATTCTTTTACTCATTGTGATTTTTGTTCGACATCACTTCCGTATTTTTAATTCAATGTGATAACTACTAAGTGTAGTATTTGTGTTTGTTTTCCAGTGTGATATTTTATTCGGCATAACATTAATTTATTTGAGTGTCATGTTTATTCAAGATACGATATTCTAGTATTAAATTAACATAAATTATCTTCAGCATGACACGCAGCATCTGATTTGTTATAAATCTGGGTATTTTTTGTACATGGGATTTCATCCTAATTAATAATCAAGATGAGTGTACAATCAATATATGATGAACGTAATTTTGACCAGGGTAGTTGTGTTTTGTGATTAGTAACTCTTCATTTGTACCAGTCTTGGTGTTCTCACTTCGTATCGTAGGAATTACAGTGGTTTCTCGTTTTACAAGCATAAGTAATAAGCGATCCTAACATAGCAATTAGTGATGACCAGATATAAAATTAACATTTTTAGGTGATAAGTCTTTCAACTGAACGTTTATACACTGACTTCGTAATCAATCCCTTGTCTTCAAAGGTGCTTCACACTTGAACCCCGAGTAAGAAAACAGAAGACACGAATTATAGAAGAGGCTGTTTTGTAAAGGTTAGATTATAAACAAGTTCGATGGGAAGTCCTGATGGGTGGCCTATGCTCCTCCATGAGGGGTAACAGGTGTAAGTAAGTTTAGTGAACCAAAACTTTGTATTCACTACTATGCCGCTGTGTTTACTGATATTCTAAATATATCATGATGTCTTTGGAGGGTTAAGTAAAATGAACACTATTATAATTGAATTACATTGAGGACTGATAACATTGAACAGTATCAGTATTATTTCTTTGAGTAGAAACAATTGATGTACGCTTACAATCAACTCAATAATTAGAAATCGAATTTCTGTAGTAGATATTTTAGCCCATTTGAAAAGTGTTTAAAAATCAACACTCAATTTATGACTAAAATTATAATTTATTATTTGTATAAATATTACTAACCTTGATAAGCCAGTATTAGTAATATTTGATTGTGAATGTTTTTTTGATAATAATTCATGAGATTTAGCATTCATACAATGAAATTCGATATTTTCTGGTTTTTTAAATGTAGATGTAAATCGATTATTGCTGGAAATATCATCATATTCATCATCAAGTTGACAGTTATCAAGACTATTTGATAGTTCGTTTTTCATCAAAACAGTATTATTAACTATATGACTTGATTGAACAGGTACGGGAGTCATCGTATGATAGAAACAACCATCTCCTAATTCAACTATAGGAAATTGTTTGCCACAACGTTTGCATAACTAGACATTTAAAATAAATGCAAATGAAATAATTTATCAATAGTAACATGATTCAAGGAAGCACGAATGTACATGAGGTTTGGACTTAAGCAAACTGTTAATAGGATAATATGAATTGGAAAAACTCATTTTCTTTTACCGAGAATGGAAATATACGGAATAATGTAGATAATTGCAATATACAGATAAATCATTTTAATTCGGAAGAATTTACTAGAATATGTGAAGGTATTAAACTAAAGATAAATTAATATAAATAAACACAGAGAAGTAGGTGTAAAGTATTATTCAATTATTTGAATTAAAACAAAAGTTCAACTTTGCTTGTAGCTCTTCTAGCGCTACTGCTGGTCATAAGCTCGGGTAAAGAAGGAGGGTTGGGCGTGTGGTCAACAACCCATCCCGTAGAAAACAACCTCGCTAAAAAACACTAACTAGAATAAACAATTTAAACTATTTGAACTCTGCCGTTTGATTTGAAAGATCTTCATTCAGAAGAATTATGAAGCCTCATGATGAAAGCCGAGGTTCTCAAAACGTCATGAGGCCGATGCCCTATCTAACAACCAGAGAAAAAATTAATATAGGTCCATAGAATGATCGGACAATGTGAGACACCAGGAAGACCAAACAAATAGCTGAGAAATTAAGGAGATACAACTTGGTGTTGCTCGGAATAAGTGAAACACATTGGACTCAAGTTGGACAGAAAAGGATAGATTCGGGAGAGATGCTGCTGTACCCTAGTCACGAAGAATAAAATGCTCCACAAATTCAGGGAGTTTCTCTGATGCTGTCCAAAGAAGCACGTAATGCACTTATAGAATGGGGATCTCATGGATCCAGGATCATCAAAGCGTCCTTTAACACAAAGAAGGAAGGAATCACGATGAATTTTATCAAATGTTATACAACAGCCAATGATAGCGACGACAATAAAGATCAGTTCTATGAGTGGCTTCAGTCAATCATAGCGAAGTGCCCAAGAAAGAACCTGGCCATCCTGATGAGAGATCTAAACACCAAAGTCGGAATGGAAAACACCCGATATGAGGATATCATGGGATGAAATGGACTGGGAGAGAAAGGAAAATAAGGAGAAATTTGTAGACCTATGTTCATTCAACAAATTGGTTATAGGTGTTATGACCCAGTGAAGATTAAGTTACAGGTGACTTCCGAGGACTGTTAATAGACTAATATTCTATAAATATTCTTATCGTATAATTATCCAATAATTATCATGTTAAGTCTAATGGTGTCCTTGTACTTTAAATGGACATTTACTATTGGCCAATATTTATTTCACTTGTCAAATATTGTACAAATGTTGTTTTCTATTTTATGGTACGATGTGGTTTGTTTGATTAGTATATAAACAAAGTATGTCTGAAATAAACGATTTGATTCATATTACAGAAGCTGGTATTGTGTTCTGGACTCAAGTGGAAGGGCTAGGAGGACATAGGACCAATCAGGACGCTAAACTGCTCATACCGTTGAACGTCATTGGTTTGGCATAGTGCGAAATTGTATAAGTCGTATTCTGACTGGTCAATAAGTCGCGTGATAGAAAAGCCAGACATCAGGGTCATAACAATAGGCGGTACAATATTTCCACACAAAGCTATATGGATATCACCGGATCACACCACAGATAACCAGACTGGTCATTTTTGTATCAATAAAAATTCAGAAGGACAATGGAAGATGCGAGAACCAGGAGAGGAGGTGACAGAGCTTCAGACCACCACCTAGTTGTGACCAAAATGAAACTGAAGTTAAAGAAACACTGGACAACTAGGGGAACAGTATTATAAAGGTTCAATACAGCCTTCATTCGAGATAGTAACAAGCCCGACGAATTCAAGACAACTCTCAACAACAGGTTCCAAGCCTTACAAGGTCCACTCAAAGAAGAAGAAACAACTATGGAGGGCAACTAGGAAGGGATCAAAGGAACAATAACTTCAACATGTCAGGAGGTTCTGGACCGCAACAAGCATCATCATAAGCAGTGGGTCTCTATGGAATCCCTGGACCAGTAATCAAGAAAAGAAAACCAAGGAAACAACAATCAACAACATTCAATATCAAAGTCAGAATCTTCATTACAAACGTAGAGATGGTTCTACTGTACGGAGTTGAAACCATTATCAAAAATGCACAAGTATTTATAGACACTTGTCTACGTAAGATACTGAATGTCTGTTGGCCGGATACCATCTGCAACAACCTACTGTGCGAGAGAACAAACTAGCTACCGGCTGAACAGGAAGCTAGGAAAAGACGTTGGACGTGGTTATGACACACATTGTGGAAATCATCAGACTGCACCACGAGGCAAGCGCCAACTTGGAATCCTGAAGGGGAACGAAAAAGAGGGAGGCCAAAGAACACACTGCTCCGAGAATTGGAAGCAGACACAAAAAAGAATGGCGACTGGGAAGGATTGCTCGGGACAGAGTTTGATGGGAAGTCCTGGTGGGTGGCCTATGCTCATCCACGAGGGGTAACAGGCGTAAGTAAGTGAAACAAAAGTTCGATACCATTGGACTACTCCAATCAACTTCGAAACTGAGGTCTTTGCTAAGTGTTATCTTAGCACTGAGATCATACAGGTTCAGTAGGTAAGCATTAATTGGTGAAGTTTTTTGGGGTTTTTTCTGTCACAACTTTAAAAATCTACTGTCCATGGCAACCCACAGCAGATTACACATATCGCAATTACCCTTGCCATCGATTCAGTTCTAAGTCTTTACTGTTTTGTCGAAGTTTTTGCAGATAATTCTGCTTCTAACTATTAAAATCCATCCTCAATCGACTGGTTGCAGCATGCGAACAATATTTCAAAGATAAGTGAAATCAAATGCTGTTAGCCATCTTAAGTCTGTCAAAGTCTGCAGCCAATGGACTGGTTGAAAAATAATATTTATCCTTTAGTAATTCAGCAAGTTGATGCATACTACTTGTGTTGAATTTGTCCTTGATGTATGTAGAATGTTATATATATATATATATATATATATGTGGTGTGCCTTAAATTTGAGAACAGCTTTCGTACCTACCTTAAATCGGATGAAACTGTTGAACATTAAACAACTGTTGCATTGTTGTTCTGAACCCCTAAACAGTTTCTATTTTTACCTCCATTTAGGATAATATTCAGAAGCTCCAAGTTTTCTAACAAATGCATGTATCTAAATAAGATTGGCTTCAAATTCCATAATATAGTTCTAGCTCCAGTCATTCTACGATGCCCATAGATCATTTTTAACCATCATTGATAATAATTGTTGTCTCACTGCTGACATAGCTAAACTAAATTAGTCACAACTTCACATTGGAACAACTTGATCCGGCACAATCTAGTCACGTGTAAGCACACACTTCATTTTCGGTTGGGAACGAAAATCGCCGGATTTTGATTAAATGGTTTACGTATCATAATCCTGTAGAGACCTGGAGCTTCTATACAGGATATCAACTGAGATTACGGCTGCACACTGCAGAAGAATCTTGTATCAGATCGAAACAGGCATCCATAACATCCTTACTCTTTAGGTGATAAAAAACCATAACAATACCATCTTTAGAGCATTATGCAGTGTAAACTGTTAATCTACATTTTGTATCGAGAAATAGTCCGCAAAATATCTTTCTTTTTAATCTATCAGCCAATTAAAATACGGTTACTAAAAAGTGAACTGACCGATAATATTTATTATATTTTCAAAACATAAAATCTAACTGCATAGAAGTAATTAACTTATTGGCTAACTTGAAGATTTATTGTAGCCCATAGTTTCCAAAATACATCGCGCCAATTTCCTGATTCCATAAACCATTGAATTAAAAGTTCTGTACATGAAAAACTTGTTAGTTTTTGACTAACTGGCATGGTTATTTGTCCATTAATATTTGATGTGACTACCGATCGACAATGTAAATTCGAGAATGTAATTGATGATGTAGGTGTGTGTGAATGTTTCGAATAATCATTAGCCTCAATACATTGATGAGATGGTTCATCTGTCGAAATTATTTCTTTTTCACTTGGCTCCATAGGGTCATGAACAGGTATCATATCGCCACGTCGACTAATTATAAAGCGATTTGGAAGACAAGGTACAATAATTGAAATGCTTCTCGTCAGTACTTTACCACACTTTTGACATCTTCAAATATATTTTGATTTGATTAAAATAAATCGATGCAAAATAAATTAGTAGAACTATATATGTTAGTTAATCATAATAGATAAACATTTTACTTGTATACGAATTTTCAATGTTAAGACTTCCTTCCCTTGTGACCCATAAAACCTGTAGATTTCTAGATACATATACACGAAAGCAAGTTTACATAACGTTTTGTTAGAAATTATATCCAATGAGCATGTAAGAATGTTGGAAAAAGAGAATCAGATAAGGTAACTGCGAAAACACGCTAAAACAATGCTAAATAGACAATAATTTGGCCATGATCATACACTAGGACCTAAAACACAGGTGGATCTTTATTAAGGTTTATCACTTACAATAAAAAAATACATGAAATTTTCTAAAGATATTAAAGTGACGATTCAGTTACGGCAAAAATGTTCTGGGAGTTTTACCAATACATTTTTTTTACTTTTTAGACAAATCTGTACTTTGGCAAGGAGTGGAATTACCATATTAGAAGTAATTGAAGAACAGTATACCTTACTTTCTTCTAATTGGTAAACCGCGAATGCAATTTTAAAAGTGGCCACAGCGACATTGTTATAATTTTGAAATATTTTTGACGTTGTATCCCAATATCATGTTGCGTAAGTAAAATAATGGCGAGAAAAAGTGCCCTTACTTATTATCCCGTTACTACACAAATATGGATATGGATAAATAAAACTCAAACAATGCACCTGACTTGAATATTGAAGTAAACAACCAAAAAGTATAGAGGAATAAATTTTCCTGATTTTGAAAGACGATACATACTCATTGTGAGAAAAACTAACGAATGTTGATTTAACGGTTCTAAGGAAGTGTAGACCTATTTAATAACCCTAATGTGGATAAAAATCAGCTGCTTCAACTACTTTACATCTTGAAAGCTTCAACAGAACTATTAACATATATATTTACCCTGAAACTAAACCACTTTAGTTACTTTGCCTATACTGCTTAAATATCACCATATAAATCAAGAAAAACAATATACATGAGCCACAGTTAACTTACCGAAATAGATACGCTGCATTGTTAGGACAGTATGAAGAAGTATACTCAGGATCAAACAAATGTTCAATTTTCTTGAAAAAGATTTTGCTGTAATGATATGTTTTGCCCCAAGTTAGCAATGGAACTACCTTTTTATTTTGTCTTTCTTATCCTTGATCTTATCCAGTTCCTCCAATTTCAACCGGAGGGCGATGCTAGAATACATTTTAAATAATTACTATTCCTACTACCGCTCAACTAAGCTATCGCCCAAACAATCTAAAGAGAAAGGACTTGCTATAATATCTCCAGCATGTGTGCAGAAATATTCTAAACATTCAGAAGTCTTTACATTATTTGTTCAAACCTTTCTGTTTAACCTACCAGATGTTCCATTTTAAGAAAGTTCGATGAAACTAATAATGCAAGGACATTCGAAGTTGACAAAGTGCATTCTTTATACGCATCAGGATCAATGTGTTTTCTAGCATAAAGTAGTAGCCACTCGAATATTTTTAGGTCACAGTGAACAAGTATTTCTACTTCGCTGATAAACTGACCATCCTTAATCAAAAATTCTTTGAAGTACGGCATCTCAATCATAAGAACGTCCAGCTCACATCTGAAATCTTTTTCAACTATACAGTTTAATTTTAGGACAACGAAGTTCCGATCTTATAGTGTAAAATGAAAGGTTACCTCCTTTAGCCTCATCGCAAACTTTGACTGTTACTATTACTGGTTCATTGACAATGCCATTAACCGGGCACATTTGTATTTAATGGATGGAAATAAATGTCTGAAGTGCTTGTCTGTTTTAGCTGTTTGCGTCTAGTCAGGTAATTTGTTTACAAGTGGAGCATGCAGAGTAGCGTGATGGGGAGTGGAACAGAGAAGAAAGAAAGAAAAATTAAAACTCGACGACCCAGCAAGCTCACTTCATATCTGAAAAATAGACATTTTAAGGTGACGGTTAATTTCATATTCTCTCAGGCTATGTAATGTACTAGAGGGGCCCCCAGGGCTCAGTACTAAAACCTCTTTCCTTCTTAAATTATATAAATGATCTTCCACAACAGGTATCGTCAGATTTATTACTTTTTGCCGATGACGTGAAACTTTGGTGAGAGATAAGCAACTAAGAGGATGTACTGGCACATCAAAAGGATGACTCGACTTCAAATTTGGGCAGATGATAACGGACTTACCTTCAACACTTCAAAGTGTAAAGTAGTCCAGCTGCAACATGTTGCAGACTACAGCTGCAACTTAGGCGACTCATCTCTAGAAGTATCTCGAGTCGAAAAAGATTTAGGAGTCCTGGTATGCTACTGTTTGAAGTCTTACGCTAACTGTGACAAAAATGCCTTTCGAGCAAACCTTGCACTGATAACATTGAAGCGCATTTTTGGCCAGCTTGACGGAAGAACTTTCTACATAATCTTCGACAGTTTTATTTGTCCCCATTTAGGGTACGGAAACGTAGTATTTCCTCCCTTACTCCAAAACAATAAGGACACCCTGGAGCGTATCCAACGGCGAGCCACAAAATCAGTTTGGAGACTCAAGTTCAAGCCTAATGAAGAACGCCTCCAATCGCTTAAACTTTGCCCATTAGAATACAGGCGTCTTAGAGGTGACTTTCTAATGGCTTACTGTATCCTTAACATTTCTGAACAGAATGGACACAAGGGTTCAGGAGTCTTTATCCGAAAGGACCTGCCGTTGGCAGACCGTGTTAAAAGACGGGAAGCTGAGAAAGAACTACAACTTAGGTTAGACGCTGGCGAAAAGGACCTGAAAATTGTAACTTTTCGGGTTGTGAGACTTCGACAGAGAATGATCCCGAAGGCCCTCTGGGTGAAGCACGAAGGCACTTAAACAGGCTTCGGATCTGTTACACCAATGCACGAAGCTTACTTAATAAGCGATCGGAACTAGGTGTACAGATTGACTCTACAAAGCCAGACATAATCGCAGTAACAGAAACCTGGCTGACACAGGCTATAGATAGTATGGAACTTGATTTCGAGGGTTTTACGTTAGTAAGGGCCGACAGAACACAAAAGCGCAAAGGAGGGGGAGTAGCTCTATTCATTAGGAATGCTATCCCATTTGCCATTATCGATAATGTATCTCATGAGAGTGGGACGTGTGAATTAGTTATTTGCCGCTTGAAATGCAAGGGACAAGAGCTGCTGATTGGTTTGGTCTATCGCAGTCCAAGCTGTGAGGCAAATGACATCCTGTTAAGCAGTCTCAATACTTGGTCTCAAAGTGGTCGATGTCTAATCCTAGGGGACTTCAATGCACCTATGGTAGACTGGGAAAATCTGCGAACTAAATCGTCGGAGAATTCTTTCGAGCAGGAACTAGTTGATGGGGTTATCACATGTGCTCTAGTGCAACATGTGAAAGAAGAGACAAGGTACGATCTTATACTGATTCACTATGAGGATGATGTTGCGAACCTCCATCATATACTACCCCTAGGTAAAAGTGATCACGCAGTTTTAATTTTCGATTTCCATATAACTGCCAGTCACAAGCACGCGTCAGTCCAGTCCAGACCCAACGTCTGGAAAGCAAACATACCATACATCGTGCACTCAGCATCGTTAATAGATTGGACAATAGACCCAGAGTCCTCAATTGAAACGGCTTTGGACGCGTTTCGAAATTTATACTTAAAAGTTACCGCACCCCACGATGAATAACACTGAGCTACCTGTCGTCCAGACGTATAATGACTTAGGAGTTATCGTTAGTCAAGACTTAAAGACTACTGCACACTGCCGTGCAATAGCCGCCAAAGGTTTTAGAACCTTATGGTCAATACGTAGAGCTTTTAGTCATGTCGACGCTAAAACGTTTTTGACTTTGTATACAGTGTTCGTTCGTCCTAAACTTGAGTACTGCATACAAGCGGCTAGCCCCTGCTTAAAAAAGACAGTGAGATTCTGGGAAAGGTTCAGAGAACAGCAACTAAACTGATCCCCGGAATTGCGAAGCTTCCGTATGAAGTTCGACTGGCCAAGCTGAACCTTTTCCCGTTGTCATATCGCAGAACTAGAGGCGAATTGATTACAGTCTACAAATTGCTTAGTGATGAATTCGCACCTAATATGCCCTCATTTTTCTTGTCTTCCAAAACAGAGAATTTACGAGGACACTCCAAAAAAGTTCATAAGCCGAGAACAAATTACTTGTCAGCTGACTATCGACTTTCCCATCGAATCATCAACGAGAGGAATTCACTACCTCAGCACGTGGTTGAGGCTCCATCCGTCGACTCTTTCAAAAGAAAGTTGGATCAGCTGTGAGACCACCATTGCCAGGACTAACATTGGCCATCAAGCCACCTGTCCTTCCAAAACTGAAACTGGAACCCCTTAAACATTTACTTAAGCTTAGTGTCAACACAAACCTAATGGATAACAACAAGAAACTGGAGGCACAACACAGTAGGACGGACTGTATATATAACTTCTACTCTTTAAGATTTGTCAAATGCTGGAATTCGTTGCCGTCTGACCTAGTCCAAGCGACTTCCCAGAAGTCATTTAAGAGGAAACTTGACCTATTCTTAAGGACTAAGAATAACATCTTGTTATGATTTGGCAATTTCGTTTTTCCTCTATTGTCGTTAATATACCTAGGTTCCTGTTTGAAGGTGTTGGTGATTCACTGCTACAAGACACAGAAGCCCTGCCCTCCGCGTTAAATATCGCGGGTTTGTTCGGGCGTCGCTAATGACAACGATGGGTTGGTCTTCACTTTCCAATTTGACATCTCGATTTCAGACTACAAAGTGCAGGATTTTTGTCGATCTGTGTTAGTTCTAGCACTGATGATCTTACAGATTATTCAACTTTCTTTTGAAAGATTCGATAGATGGAGTTTCAATCCCATGTTTATATATAAATTCCACTCGTTGTTGGTTCGATGGTACAGTCGATAGTCTTCTGACAAGTAATTTGTTCTGGGATTCTTATCTTTTTTTAAGTGTCCTCGTTGACTCCCTGTTTTGGATAACAGAAATGAGTGCATATCAGGTGTAAGTTTATCACTAAATAATTTGAGATTCGTTATTAGGTCACCTGTACTTCTTCGACATGACAATGAGAATAGGTTTAGTTTGGCCAGTCGAGCATCATAAAAGAGCTTGACTATTCCGCGACCAGCTTAGTCTCTGTTATAAAAGCTCTTTTCAAAAGCTTACTGTCTTTTTTAAGCAGGAGCTAACCGCTTGTATGCAGTACTCAAGTTTAGGGCGCATGAATGCTGTATGTAAAGTCAAAAACGTTTTAGCGTCGACATGACTAAAGGCCCTACGTGTTGACCACAGGGCTATAAAATTTTTGATAGATAATGCACGACATAGTGAAGTAGTTTTTTAGTCTCGGATAACGATGACTCCTTAGCCATTGTGTGCTGGGACAACAGATAGCTCAATGTTATTCATCATATTTGTAACCGTATCTCTAAGATATGACGTTGGGAGCTTGGTGGAAGAATTCGGCTAGCCAGATATCGTCTCTCACTGGTGGACAAACAAACATGTGTCTGAGATGGTGGAGAAGATTTGTAGCTCAGGTGGATGATTTTGGTGGAGTTTTGTTCTCTGAGCTGGATGGTGGGCGAGGACACACTGCAGCACACTGGCAGCACGAAGAAATTAAGAGAAATACCTAAAGGATGTATTTCAGAAGAACGGCTGCCCCATCAACTTCATCAAAAAGTACCAACCGCACGCAGCATTAGAACTCAAGTCAAGCACAAAAATCAACAAAACTATCACTCTACCATATTTACAAGGAATATCAGAAACCGCGACGAGACTGCTGAAAACCTTCGGAATAGGTGTGGCACACAAACCGACAAAATCACTACAATCAATCTTATGCGAACCAAAAGATGAAATAACAAAGGAAAACAAATCAAACATCATCTACAAAATAAATTGTGCCAACTGCGAAAAACACTACATCGGACAAAGCGGACGCCCCCTTCACCTTCGCCTACATGAACATCAATTAGCAGTCAAACGGCATGATATCTCTTCACTTATATCAATACACGTGGACAACTGCGGACACTCATTCGATTGGAAAAATGTGGAAATCTTAGACAGAGGAAACTCCAAAAACACCAGAGAATTTTTAGAAGCCTGGTACTCAGGTCAATCAGCAATCAACAAGCATATTGAAATCAATCCAATTTATCAACCAATCAGAAAAATCATGCACAAACATAAGAACAAAAATCAAAACAATGGAAGACACAACCAAAACAAAGAAGTAAACAACGACAAATTTAAGGTCAATAAGAACCAATCAACGTCGAGGTGCACAGGACAAGCTTTGAGACACATATGGAGAAATTCAAACACTTCACTTCTATCTGAAGTTTGTGCTGATGATGTCGTTCAGAAGAACGATGAAAGCTTCACGACCAAACCATCCAGCTCAGAGAACAAAACTCCACCAAAAACATGAGTCTACAGTGGGTTGCCTTTTGGCCAGCCATGCATTGAAAGTTATTGCTCTAACAGTCTTGTATCGTTTCGAACAAAGTTATAATTCTATTTTTCCCCCAATAACCTGGTGAATGTATCCAGTATGTAAACTTTTCACCAAAGGCTTTATAACAATATTAGAGCCAACCTCGAATGAGAATCCTGACAGATTGATTAGGATTTCATCCACTTAAATGAATGGTGAGATCTCTTTAACAATGTCTATAGAGGTCTAGTGTAAACGGTCTCGAATT